TGGCAGGACTTTTTTAGTCAGCGTAATTTGGTCAACACTTTAATTCTCTATCAATTTTGACGTTGCGCATTGATGATGACGTATTATAGTTACTGACAACTTTAGAAACGTAGGGCGTAGCGAGTATCTAATGATCCCTTCGCAACCAATGAGATTGCGGTATTAGCCGAGAAAAGGGCCGAAGAACGCTAATCAAGGGGCGTGAACGTAAAAATTAGCCACGCCCTTCGCTTCTGAAGCCTTCCGCGAGAGTAGTGATATGAGGGAGACCTTCTGAGAAGCAGGGCAGCCGTGTCGGCGGCGTCCACAGCCCAGTGAGTGCCTTCCACTTGCCGCACCAGGTCCAGGAAGCTTTCGATGCTGTGCGGCAGCGGTGTGGGAACGCCGCCCCCACGAACCAGCCCCGTCTCGTTGAAACAGGACCAGGACACCTTGCTGTTGAACGTCTCGAAGCTCATCAGAGCCAATGCTCCGCTGAAGAGCACTGCACCTGCTGAAACCAATCCGAGTTGTCTGAATTCTGCAACACTCTTGCGAATATACGTCGATGAAAGTGAAACCTGCACGCGGTCAGGTTTTTCATATTAGGTCATGCCAGCGTTTACGTAACTAAAACAAAAACACAAAACAAATCATTAGAAACGAGACATTTATTTATTTGTTCGAAATACCTTCGAAGTTCCTCCAAGGGAGGGTCTCTTTAGGGGTATTTTGCCTAAAGTTAAGACATCGGCAAGTTGTGAACTTGTCTGGTAAGTTAAAAACTTACTGTAGTTTAAATAGTATTCGTCTTAGTTTTCTACAAACCTGTGTTATCTTCGGTGGGATTTTCATTTGTCGTAATTAAAACGCTCAAATCCAAATGCGTTCCCCTCGTGAGCGTTTTACAGAATATGGTAGCAACATTGACCGGAACACTTTGAAAACACATTGTGTAATTTTTTTACTCTGCTTTCTTCTGAATTTTTTTATCTCGAGGTTTTCTCACGATCCATATAAGAAAAAAGGCTGTAATATTTATTCTTATCAGACCGACTTATCAGACCGCATCTCCGTTTTTTTTATTGATCTTAATATTTTAGTAGTCCTCCTTGCGAGTAAACGGCCATGGAATATTGGGTTATATATATATTTTTTTTTACACTGTGTGACACTGTTAACTCAAACAACGAATCGGTGCTTGTTTGAATTTAATGCACCCAGGCTAGTCCCCGGGTATCAAATTTTAACACCAATATCTATGCACCGCAGATGCGTATACATATCAGTGCACCTGTAAGTTTGACGCCAGCGTAAACCTCTCAACAATGTTCAAAGTACGAAGAAATAAAAATAAAACATCCGTTTCGTGGATAGCTGCGTTCAAACTGGGTATATGGTACAATTAACAATAGCCCGTTTGATTAAGACATACTAAAACAAAAAGCAGGGACTCACCTGTAAGGACACGCGCCAAAGATTTCTCGAGTCTTTCCATCACGATATCTCCAGCTTCAGATAAATCGAAGTGCAGGCCGACCCGACCCCAAGTGCTCAACAAGTCATGCCTTCTCACAAAAAAAAAGCGCACGCACACAAACTCGTAAATCGTTCACAATTTCCACCTCTGCATTGAGCAATAATAAAAAATTCACTTGGCAGTAACTAGAAAACTGAGGAGAGGCACACGAAATATGAACAGCCTCAGAGGCTCAAACTTGGAGCACCCGCCGACAACTTCCGTGGATTCCTTGTGACATCGAGCCTCCCCGCACAACCCACACACATCTAAACTCTCTTTCCATCCGTTTACTATTCCTCTTCCCCCCTCTTCGAATAGTATTTCCGTTCTTTACAAGACTACCAGAACGTAACCGACACATGCAACGTGAATCTAAAGTAGCTTAAACAACGACCCCAACAATGATGATCGTTCGTCCGTTCCGAGTTATATGGAGGCACCGTAGGTTCACTGAGGTAACGACACGACCGCTCGTGACACGAGGATTAATGCTGCGGCGCTACCTATACCCCGCTCAGCACTAACCTGACACTGCGTGCACTCTCGGACCAATCAACTTCGTCCCTTTGATCACATGACCCGACTCTCTGTACGTGGGCATGGACGGGAGCGTGGTCATGTGGCGGAAGCTAGGCGTATGGCTTATCCGACGAGCACGTAGCTTCCACCGTACTGTCAGCTGACGGGTCCACGGAGTTAGCGGGCATCATCCGCCTCGACGATATGCGGTCTTCCCCGCGAACTCCTCTGGAGCGTGCTCCCTCGGCGCTTCGTCTTCCTGACTGCCCTGGTATTCTTCGGACTTATGGAAGCATAGATAATGAGAGCTTCCGCCGCACCGCTGTTGTTGGGGGTCGCGCACATTTCAGCGAGGAGTGCATCTGCTTACGCTGAGAGAAAATGGCGCGAAGCGTGGCAGCGGCTGCCTGTCCCGGTATCGACCTTAACCCTTCTCTGTAAGTGAAGAGGTGGATAGTTGGAATACCGTGTGAGTTGTTTATCGGAACTTGTGTAAAGGAAGGCAATAGAAAAAGGCACAGCTGTTTGTATAGTCGTTCAAAGTTGCTAAATTGTAAGCTCGTATATTTCGTATGCTTTTGAGGCGACTACCTTATACGTAATATTTTGCTCGAATCGACTTTCATCATTTCATTTTGTAATCGTATTGCGCGTCGACTCTATTTTTCATTAGTTTTTATAGCTGGGGAGAGTTGAGAGCAGTAGCAGTCATCATCGCTCGCAGTTACGAAACTAAAGTGCTACGTTCAGTTGATTTGGTATTCTCGGACGTTTGACAGAGTGGTCAATTTATATTGATTTTTATTTGTTATACTAGTTGAACGAATAAAGGGCCACCCGTATGTCAAAACGTCATACTGCTTTGTGATATTTTGTCAAAGTTAAAGTAAAAAAAAAAAAAACTTAATTACATTTTTTTACATCAAATTTATTATGGTCGCGGACATCGGGTATTTTTTTATACCGTCATGTTACATTTCTAATAGAGGGACATTAAAAGCGAATTCACGAAAACAACTAAGCAGTTCAACATAAATTTTAAAAAAAATATTCTAGTTGCGCGTGATTAGATTAATTCTAGAATTTTAACAACTTTAATAACTCAGATGTATTTTTTTCTTCAAAGTTGTATGGAAAAAAGACGCTTTAATATAAAAAGGGAACTTATATAATTCGCTCAATCTTTAAACACCAAGTTAAAAAAATGTAAACAATAAGCTACGTACGGTGGAATTTTCGAACATTTTAGGTTATGTGTACTGTAAGCCAATTTCAAAAATAAATAAAAAAAACGTAAAACATTTTTCACGTTTCAATTTGGGGGAGGGGGGGGGGGGTGGGGGGCGAGTCTCTTACGGCTTTTACGAAAATGAAGTTTATTGATTGGAACGAAATCGAGTGAAAACCCGAAACAATTGTTTGCCCTGCTCTCCTCTTATACTGACCAGGTTCGGTAGTCCCTTTTGTACCCGTGTTGCGAAAGCGCGAAGTTTAGCGGCACTGGTTTAGCACACGCCTTCTTCCTTGTAAAAACACCATTGTTAAAAATATAAATAAAAATTTTTAATTTGTTTTTATTGTGGACTGGCTCAGCAAGATCGATCAAAGATGTAGCTCGTAATGCACGAAACACTGTTGTAGATACAATTACCTCGCACCATTTATTCTTCATCAGGTTGCTGAGTACATCCTATAAGTATACCTTGATTAGAGTGTATGTGTATTAAAGCTTATTGTAAAAAAAAATGCAAGCTTTTTCCAATAAACAAGTATATTTGTTTCAAATAAAAACCCAGGGATTATGCACGCGTTTTTTTACCGGGGTAATTAAAGAACGTGTACCTGAAGGAACACTACAATGGTACATCTTCACATTTCGCTTATAAATAGCGTCTTACGAAGCAACTAATGCTTCCTACCTATTTGTCGTAATTCCTTCGTAATACATAATTTTCGAACCATGTTCACGAGTTAACATTGCATAATATGGGTTTCTATGAGGTACGCAAGCACCTCAACGTCAGGGCCGGCCCTAAGGGTGGGCGACCTGGGGAGTCGCCCATGGCACCATCAAAAGGAGGGCGGCGCCGCGGTCCCCCCTTTTGATTTTTTTTTTTCTTTTTTGCTGTTTGATTTGTTTGAACACAGCGCCCGATACGATGCTCTATGCTCGATCGCTCTTCGTTTTTGGAATGCGGTTCTCGTCCGACAAAACGCTCGTGCTGGGCCACTTCTCACATGTTTACTAACAACGTGATGTCGTACCTCGTAGATAAGGGCGTATTATAAAGGAGGGGGGGATCGCCTCAACAGGAGCTTGCCCAGGGCGCTTGATGGTGTAAAGCCGGTCCGGTTCACATTTAGGGGAATTGCTTTTTTGTTGTCAATAATAAAACGGTACCACTTTGTAAATGCTCTTTGACATACACGCAGCAATTTACTGTTAAACACATTTGTTCAATATAAGTATGCTTTACATCGAGCGCAGAGGGCGGGGCCACGCGATAAAAGGGAGGCGGTCGATTGGTCCGGCGAACACGTTGCTCCCGCCTCACTGTCAGATTAGGAATAAGCGGAGTATAATCTGGCGATACTCAGTCGCGCAGATGCTATACTCCAATTCAGCGACAACTTTCACTCGGACAACTTATTGTTAGAGTGCACACCTGCTGCAGAGAGCTGTCACGTGTTTCACTCCGGCGCTCTGATTGGCTCGAAGGAGCCATAGCGTTCGCTCTCTGTCAAGATGTACGGAAGCCTAATATAGAGTTTCATAGTGACTGACAGTTTAAGAAACGTAGGGTGTAGCGAGGACCGAGCATCTCAATTAGTATCGCTCCGTAGCCAATGAAATTACTGTATTAGCCGATATAGGGATTCAGCAAAACCAATCACCAACCAAAACGTGTGAACTTAGTAAGCCCTCCCTACGTTTCTTTAGCTGTCAATAACCGCAGTAAAAGAAGAAACGACTTGCGACTTTTAAAACAAAATGCATTTATTCATTTGTCTATCGTGCGATTTACAACAGGATAAAAATGGATGTGCTTTGCTGCTAAGAATTACTGTAATCTGTCTGTCAATCTAATAAGGACCTGTGGTGGTCAGAAAATAGTTCAGAAAGATCCGAAACTACTGACATAAATGTGCACTGTCTCAAATCTTGGATGCAAAAATACCTTGTTCTTCTTGCGTAAACGCAAAGCTATTCCCGTGCAGTATTAGGAACTGACGAATGCTTTTGCGACCAGCTTTGAATTTTCGAAAGAATAATAACATTTTGTGTACTTGAGGAGAGATGGGACACATCCATAGAGTTGTTTAATATAAAAACGCGCGCTGATGTTCATTAAATAGTACGTTTTCAAAATGCCATTCCTCCAAAATACGCAATATTGGTGGGATTGTCATGTGTGTAAGAAGCCCGGATGCTGAACGAAGACTATTCGGACATCGTACCTTGATTATGGTTTGACTAGCTGTGCTCACAAATGAAAGGTCATGCGTTACCGGGATGTTTGGTATCACCCTTACATTCATAGAGGGTTCATGCTACGAAACGAAAAGAAGGTTTAACTCGACGACCTAGGGATCATTGTGCTCGGTTATTCCAGGTACAGACCTATCAGACCAGGGCTTGATTAGAAACGAGGATATTTTTCTGGCGTCCAAATCTACAGTCCTAGAGCATGACCTCAGTGGGAACATGTCTGTCCATTATTATTATTCAGCTTACATGTCGCAAGAATTGGCTTTGATTCGGGGTCTTGCAGGTACGTTTGGCAGGAGCTTTGATTTGATGTCAGGCTCGTGCGTGATTTCAATCAAAGTACGTAGCACACCTATCAAAGATTCTGGAATAATATTAAATACTTGACATCGAAATCATTCTCACCAGTTCACAGTTATACCACAAAAAGTAAACCATAGAGTCTAAAAAATAATTTGGAGCGCCTGCTCTCCCGTAAAGCACTTGGAAGGGCCAATGACTGCGATCCGCGGAGGGAACTCGGCCAATGACGAGGCTGAACCTATGTTTATACCTAGTAACGCAGTGTGCGCTGTGATACTGAGCATGACGTTTCACCATGCTCAATGCCGCACGAATGGATGAATGCTAACGGCTGTACCCTTTATACCGGGTGGTAGCTTGCGCCACCTAGCCTAGAAACCAAAAGTATGATTTTTCCTCCCCACCAATCTTTTTCCCCTGGTTTTTTTTTTTTTTGTAACTATCACCAGGCGGTGTGGGGTAGTGTCAGTATGATCTTTCGTACTATCCGACACTACAAAGTAATCTTTTGTTGTTGTTGTTGTTTGTTGTTGTTGTTTGTTGTTGTTGTTTTGTTGTTTTTTTTTGGGGGGGGGCGGTGGGGGGAAAGGGGGGTTTAAACATATGAGCACCACCATTCACCGTTTGCAGGAGAGCGGACGCTCCGGATTAAAACATTCTTTGACATTAGCCTACCGTCTTGAACTAACATTTGTAACGTTCGAGATTTCCGAGGTCAAGAGGTGTAAATGCCTATTCTTTCGATCGTTTGACTGTAAATTGTATTTTGTAATCCATCACACAGGAACTGGCTTTCACGGTGTCAAATAGCGTCGGGCACTGTCGTTCTGTCACAAAAGGCGCCGTCCTTTCACTAAACGACGTGAGCTAGCACCAACACTCGCCACTCTCGTAGTCCGTCCCAAGCGCGACGAGGGCAGATGGCCCCTCTTGTTTGTGAGTTCATCTTCTTTGTAACGATGACTATGCATCCGATTTGACGATCCAAGATGACGTTCTTGTCATTATCACGCATCTTTGTTCTTGGGGAAGCTCCACGTTTTGGGATTCCAGGTAACTTGCATGTGGCGGTTATCGTCAAGAAAGCCAGTAGTAGACTAGCAGCACCAGGGCCAGTAGACCGCCCAGGAGGAAGATGAAGTCTATGATGATGGACCGCTTGGGTTGCTTGCGGAACCTCGTGACGAGGGTTGACTGTAACGGAACGCACAAATGACCTCGATTAAGGTTGTTACGCGCACATAACAAACAAGTTCACACCGCTCAAACATCTAATGACACGGTGTTTTTTTTTTTTTGTGTGTTTTTTTTTATTCACAAAAGCATTTTTTTTTTTTGCGTGTGTGCCAGAAGATTGCGTTAACAACATACCATTCTCAGAGCAGTTTATACGGCGAGATTTTGGCCTTTTCAGGGAAATTTTGACAGTCTGGAAACAACAGCAGCGTAGTCTGACAGCCGGAGGATGACTACTTCCGTTCGCCATTTTGGGGCTCTGACTCATGGGAATTCTGTGCGGATTTTCAGAAATAAGGAAGAGAAAAAAGTAACGCCATTTTCTGTTATCGAGAAATCCGCTGGTTGCCGTGGGCAACAAGCTCCACCCTTGGTCAAACACTCTCAGTACAAACGGCTCTGACCATGTTGAATTCTCCGACGCTAATATAATATTTCAGTCTTAACTATTGCCTGGATATTCTTATTCGCTTGGATACAGCAGTGACTGTGGTTACACGATCTTCAGTCGCTTCGCGGGAAGGCAGAAACATTGGCTACATTGTGACAACCTCCCCTGCACCCGTGATCATCCCCATTCATTTCCTTTCTGCTGATGAACAGCGTCAAAAGCGAGGTTGTATCATTTTATCTCAATTAAAAAAAAATTGTGTTACTATTAGTTCTACTCCCAGTACTAACTGCGACCAGCACAGCTAATACTACTAACACCTCTGGTACTATTTGTACTACTACCACTGCTACTTCTAGTACTTCTAGTACTGCTAATACTACTACTAATACTGGTGATACTACTACTACTCCTACTACTACTACTACTGCTACTACTATTTCTAGTGCTGCTACTGCACTCTATCATAAAATCCATACCTTATCCTAGCTATTGATTTAATTGCAAGAACAGAGTTCTCCAATGTTGGCTGTGTAGTGTCTGCATTCAAGCGTTTAAAATGAGATCCCAAAATATTAGCCATATAGACACGCGGGCGCGGTCGGACAGGGGAGGCTATTCGCCCATGCTCACAAAAACCATTTCGGACCAGAGCGACCTTGAAAAGACAAACGAACACCTCGTCACTCAACCGTTTTCATTAGCTAATATCGTCGGCCCACTTTCCTTATCGCATCATTGATCGTTCTTCTCTGTATATTACAAGATAAAAAAGAAAATCAATCAGCCGACTGCCATAGTATAAACTGCCGGCCCTCCGCCCTACACACATTTACCTCGCCTGCTACCACGTGACCCTTGACACCATGCGACGTAACTGTAGTGCAGCGGGGCGACTGCGCGCTCCAAGGCACACGGCAGCATAACAGCAAAGCGGTAAAAACAAAAATAAAACAACAATAAAAACAAGGCTGCCTAACCGAGCACTCTGTAATCAACAAATCTCGCCTGCGAATGGAAGGAGAATGGCACCGGTTATACGGGTCGATCAATGTCCTTGTTTCTTTTTGGACGAAGAGCGAAAAGAGTCACTGTTGCTTTCAATACAAAACAAGCACCGGTTTGCACCGAGGACAGTCGCGTATCAGGAATCTGATTCAAAGAACGGAAGCCGTGGAGAGATCGATGCAACGGTTTACTTTGCGCTTTGAGGCATCAATTTATTGTTGACTTGATGCGGTGTTTACTCAGCGAACATGTCGTATGGCTTCAGCTTCCATACGGAAGAAAAGGAGTTGCACTTTTACACCTTTTTTTTTGTTTTTGGGTGTAATTAACTTTCGTCAATAATCAACGTGTTGGTGCATTTTCAGCGAGATGAAATAGTTCCCGGTACGGTTGGGGATCGTAATTGGCGGTAAGTTTTCTTCGATGTCGAATTTCGCGAAGCGTCACCTTCTTTCTACGCAGCGTCTCTGACGCTTATTTTAAATCCCAAATATCTGTGACAGATTCTTTTTTTTTTAATTTAGACAAACTTTTAGACTGCTTTGATTGCTTATTGGAAAATGAACATTCAGAATCAAAGGTAAGCTCTATTTTTTTTTAAATCTCTCATTTATTTGCAGTATTTTTAATAAAAGTGCCCGTCAAGTTCTTGGCGTACTGAAGCATAACATCATTACTGGAGCTCTGTACTATCGTCGAGGATTCTAAGAAAAGTGCAGATACGAAAATCAACCAAAGGTAAAAAAAAAAGTTCAAGTAAAAAAAAAGTTAACATACGCTATCAATTGACTTTTTTTTTTTTTCTTTTTTACTTTGGCCGCCCGAGGTTTCTCTAAACGACCCCATCATTTTTAACGGCGCGATTTACAGTCGTAGAAAAAGAAGTAAATTTCTGAGAAAAAATTAGGTTCGAAAATACATAACTGCGACAAAAGTAAAGTACGCGAACGGCGATTTTCTTTTTCTTTTTTGCTCTAGACCCGTTTTTTTTTTTAACATATTGTTTTTTTTATATATTTGTTAAACGTTTGTTATTTACTCGCGTTTTTGCTTCCGGGGCAGCATGCATTATCAGAAACCATCCAAATACCTTTTTGTATGCGGGAAAGGGGGGGGGGGGGGGCAGGCTATATGATTTCCAAGGTAACAATTTAACAGCCATTTCTCGCTCAATAAACGCTTTCACGTCACAAGAAAGCAACATTATCGTAGTCTATTGTACTCTCAAAAGGCACGAATCATCCCGAAAACCAAAGATAAAAACGACAAAATACATAGTCACTTCATTCTTTGCCATTGAAAAGCAAACAAACGTATAGTAATCGTGAAAAAAAGACCATCAACTGGCGGACTGCAGACGCGGAAAACATCTAAAGTGCAGGTTTGTTCTTAAGGATGTTTACGACATCTCGCTTTCTACCAAACGTTCAAATATAACTTAACATTTTTTCTTATTGTTTGAAACACCTGGTTCCCCAAATTGCCACGGTTGGTCGCCTTCCACCATAAAAAAAGCGTGACCGCCTCCAATGTGCAAACTCGATTTGTACAGAATATGAACCCCGCCCCCCCCCCAACACACACACACACACACACACACACACACACACACACACACACACGCACGCGCACACGCACACGTACACACACACACGCACTTTTGCGGAGAACCTTCGAAGCAATGCTATCAAACTGTCATTAAAACGTAATCCACGCCACGCCGTGAAGGAGGCGGTCCTTAGCACGAGTGAAACTCGTTAAGTCTTGACGCAAGAAAATATTCACCCAGTCTTCCTGTTCACTTGCACACTTTTGTTTACGTCTTTGAAACAGAGCGGGTGGAAAGCTTCTTTTTTGTTTTGTTTTCCGGTTTGTTCGATGGCCGAGCGCGCTTGCCAGCCCGCTGAAATTGATAACGAAGCAACAGTATGAAAAACAACGAACGAATTTGTTAGCTCGTGGAAAGGCTACAGGCTGGTTTCTCAGGGTATGGCAAGCACGCCGGAACCACAAAGCAATTGGCATCTGTGAAAGTGGTCAGAATGTCAGCGGCGAGTTGAAAAGCGTTTCTTTGATATCAGGGAGTGTATCATTATGAAAATAAAACAATTAAGTGTAGAGAGAGCGAGCCTGATTTAAGAATTCTTTTCAGTTGTACACGCACTCGTTCAACAGGAGGTCCTTGGAAAGCAGGGTGCTCTCAACTAATGTCACGGGATCCTGAGAAAGTAGCGCCAAGCTCCCCGTACCTGGTCACCAGTTTTGTTCATGGAATGAACAGTTTTTCCTTGACCTCTCCATTCAGGTGAGCCAATCGAAATTCACGGTGACAGGTTGTTTTAGAAAGACATTTCTTGAATCCGAGATTGTGTTATCCACACACTGGCGATTCAAGCCCAAATTTTCGCCCCGCCAAAAATGCGACGTTAATGCTTAGCTGCAGAAAAAAAAAAAAAAAAGAAAAAAGAAATCCTGCATTTAAATACGTTAGAACCGCAATACTATTGTAAGCGATATGTAGAGATAAGCATGATTGTTAGGTGGATTGCATGTACAGTGCCAAAGGCTCTGATTTTGGCGAAGAACGCTTCCAGTACGATGATGTTTCATAGCGATCAGGGCGCACTGCTTCAGGACGACCTTTTCGAAGCTTCGAATATTTGAATGCATGAAAATGGGGGTTGCCATGGCAACAGAGACCGATCAGCCAATCACCTTGCGAGGTTTAGTCGTCTGCATGTTAGATCTGTTTGTATCCGGCTCGCCGGCTGGGAAGGCAATTTCGCCATCTTTCCAAGTATTCAGTGACTTTACCTGTCAGCCACTCACGCTCGCCGAATAGGCCCTTTTCAAAATTCAGTTTGGCAACTTTGATAATTATTATTATCATTGCAGATGCCGGGGTTGGAGCCGGGGTTGTCTTTTGGCAATGCGGTATTATGCATGAAATCTGAGGTCCACTCGAGCTTAGAGACCCTGGAGTGTGGGTAGACTGGCACAGGGAGCGCATGGCAATACAACAAATGTAGGAGTGCAGGGAGACATGGGCTGGGCATCTTTTGAGGCTAGAGGCCATCAGTAAGTTGAAATTCAAACAAATACTTTACTAAATGAACTTGAAGCAAATGATGTGTGTATATTTGGAAAGTCAAATCGAATGTTAGCGAACATACTACTACAATCTCATTTTCTAAGTGATACCGCCTAGTGTCACGCATGTGTATTAAAATTGTTTCTGTCTGAATGGCATATGTCTTTTAGTGAACTTTCTACATAAACAAGCATAATGATGGGAGTGGTGTGCTGGTGTATATTTTGATTTTTTTTTTTTGTGTGTCTAGTGTATTTTTATTTTCCGCTGTTTTTTCGTCAAGGTATGTATGGAACTAGGGCCACGTAAAGCTGCAGTAGCAGCTTTTTGTCGTCTTTTTTAATCTTTTTTCGTTCTGTAATGAAAAAAGGAAAATAAAATATTATTATTATTATTACACGTTGGGCGAGGAAGGTATATAAGCATCTGTACATTGAAAGTTTAACACTAAATGGACAAACCGAACCC